CTTTTTTCATAAATACAAAGTTTTGGGTTTTTTTTCTATTATTAATTGTATTATTTTATGTATGTGTATATTTTTTGCTTGCATTGTATAGCCATGTGTATATGCACGCATATACGTATATAAATACAAGAGTAAAACAATAATAATTGTGTTCAATGTTTTTCATTTTTCATTTTATACATACATACTTATATAACAACTTTCATATTTCTGTATATAAGTAGAATGTATGTAGAATATTTATAATTATATATATACTATGTATGTATGTACATATATCACACTTTAAAATTGATAATACAAGTTCATATCCATAGTACTCAATTCACAATAGTATATTTTGTTAAAAGTTTTCACTATACACAAGTAAATATATAAGAATAATACATACATAGTTAGATATTGGTTGAAGTATGTATGTATACATAGTGTAGAATATACAAGAATATGTATGCATATAACTTTTTGATTGAAAAGATAGAAAATGACCTCATTCTGAGACTCTAAAAGAGTAAAAAAGAAAAAAAAACATAAGAATAAAGCAAATTAATAGAAGAAGAATAAAAAAAAACAAGAAACAAAACAAAAAAAAATAATATGAGAAAAACTAATGCATTATGTCATTTTGTCATTATTTTACATTTAAAAAAAGTTAGAAAAAACTAGAGTAGCTATACATTGCATACATACTTGTAAAAATTATGCATATATCCTACTGTACATTTTTATAAACTAAATAAATAATAAAATTATCAATAGATAATATTTTACATAAACGTATGTACATACATACCACATGCCATTAAATATTAAATATTTTATTTTATGAATAATAAAAAGGACGTAAATAAAATTGAAAACCAAGTAGTATATAAGAAAGGAAAGAATAGCAACAGAAAAATTGAAATAATTGCATTGATTTTAATAATTTCAAAAAGAAAATAAATTGTTATACCTTCATGTTGACAAAAAAATTTGATTTTATATAAAATCTGTCTATAATTCAAAAAAATTGCATTATGGCAATGCCTTAATTAAATTTAATAATAAAAATTATTCTAAAATATGAGCGGAGAGTCTCTTTAGGAGTAAGAATTAATTACAGACATGATTTTTTTATTAAAAAATCTTGATTATTAGTTAAATTTTGAAATAAATTTTAATCAATTTTCTGATATACATCTTGACCATATTAATATAGATTGTTAATTGCACGTACAAATAACGTATGTGTCAACATATACATAAATAAATATAAAACTTTACAAGATTATTAAAAACTATTATGATTTTAAGAAATTAATGAATTAAAATACTGTTATACAAATACAAATATTAATTTAATTTAGAATAATTTTAATTAAATCATACCGAAAAAGAATAAAAATTGAGAATATGTATTAAATTACAATTTTCTAATTACTGAAAATATGTACTACGAAATTATATTATGTGAGATAAATTTTTATTACCTAAAAATATGCAATATAACAATTGACATATAATATAATGTACATATAATATTTTGTTCTTTTTCATGCGTGATAGATAATATTTAAACAATAATATGGTGTAAAAAAAACACAATACCATTTATAGTAGACCTTTCTCAATGACCTTTTTTCAAAGTTGATCGATTAAATGAATCGATACTCTCTCACTCTCTTTCTATAATATTATAATAAAAATGAAAAACTCCAATTAATAATGAAAATCATATAATTATATGTTTATATTACTATATGTGTATATATCATATTTGCATACACATACTTACATATTTGGAATACCTTTGTTATACACATACACCTTTTCAGAATATTTCTATTTTAATAATATATATTTTTCTTTCTCTTGTGATTTTCTCTTTTGAAATTTTTCTATTTGATATTAATAATATGCAAATAAATCAATTTTGTAATTTTACAATGGAATTTTCTTATACATACTTGCATACATTCAACCGTACATATTTATTTATACATTTGTTTTTTGCTTTTCTTTTTTTTGCAGTATTTCTTGCAATATCTGCATATTACTGACCCAATTTCCAGTATTTACTTATATAAAATTAAAAAATAAATTTTATTTAATTTTTTTCCCTATTCTACAAAAATTTTGTCAGTCTTTACAACTCTCCTCGCAAAGGTAGTATTTTAAGTGATATTTGGAAATATTGTTTGGAGAATTAAATTTAGGCTGAAATAGTACAGAGATAGAACTCGCTCGTTGGCGATGGTTTTATGTTTAATGGTAGTTACTAATAGTTTACAAATATCGAATGTTAAAATGAGATATTTTGGAGAATCAATTTGGAGAATATTTGGAGAATGATTTGATTCCACGAAAATTGTTTGGAGAATGATTTGAATAGATGAACTTTGAGTGATATTTTGGACTACTGTAGGGCTGTCCTAAATTCTATGAAACGTTAAGAAAACCTGTTAATAGCAAAACTTTGATAAATATTTTAAAAAATATGTATATAATGTTCTATATAATGTAATATTTGCCACTATGTTTTTATAATATGAAATTATAAATTGACAGAACTTGTAAGGCAATCTAATATACTATTTTTTTTTTTGAAAATTATTAATTTATTTGACATATTAAGTATACATGTGTACGTATATATGTATGTTAGAATGAAGTAAATGTTTTTAAGTATAGGTGTGTATATAAAAGGATCATTAATTATAATTGAATAAAAGTAAAATATGTCAAAATAAAAAATAATTTTTCAGTAAATAAAATTAAAACGCGCCTATATGACCATAACGGTATGCGCCTACATAATAAATGTACAACCAGTACCTATACATACAGATGTACACATTTGTATAAACATTAGTTTTTAATTATATATGTTGAAACTTACAAACTGTGTTGGAATTATAACGCTAGTTTTTTTTACATATATGTATACAAGTGTATGTGTGTGTACATATTTAAAAAAAAACACACTATGTACTAGGGACGAAATATAAAAATTAAAATGAGAACAAGAAAAAAATTTTTTTAGTAAATAGGTACCCATATTAAATACATACACGAATACTTACGTACATACATATAAATTAATAATATTTAAGAAAAAAAAACTTTTGTTGCTATAACATAATTTTTTTTTATTTGATTTTCTACAATTTTTACATACATACATACATACACATACTTACAAACTTACAAATTTAAAAATCGCGCACCAAAAAACTCAAAAACGAGGAAAAAAAAAATTTTTATCTTATTCTTTTTATATATAATTTCAATCATACATATATACACGTTTATGTATTCGCATACACACGCAAGCACATATCCATACATGAATTTTTTGTGAATATAGCTTTAAGATATAAAACTTACGATAAAAAGAAAAAAAGAATATTAAAAGATTAGAAAAATAAATAAAGAAAAAACAAAAAACGACATAGAAAAATAAATTGGGTCAATCGATATCTTGAGTGGCGGCTGTACTAGCTGCTGTTGGAGCTTTGAATATTATAAATTTTATATATTTTATGTATTTACATACGAATGTACAAAAGTATATCACCTAAAAGAGAAAATACACAATGTATGTAGTACTGTAGATATCACGTATGTACGTACTTGCGTGTATGTAGATGCAAATTTTATAATGCGCTGTTAAAATTTAAATGCATTCATATTTATGTATGTACATACATGCATATATATTAAATATAAAGTACATACACATATGTATGTGTATGTTCATAAACAGAATTAATTAATTATATAAGACAAAGTAAAAAGAACAAAGAATCGAAAAGAAAAAAGTAAAAATTAATTTAACCTTAAGAAAATCAAAAATTCAAAAATAAACGCAAAACTCGGTTTATATGCGCATTAGATTTTTTCAAGGGGCATACATACATATACCTACTTATACAACAAAAAATAAAATCCCACAAATAGCTATTTTTCAATTTTATCAGTATAGTATAAGCATATATAATATATGTATGTAAATACACATAATGTTAACTAACACATTCACTATACAAACTAAATACACCATTCCCCCAGTTCTACTGACTTACTAAACTTTTTCAATATGGTTTACAAGCATACATACATATGTACATTTATGAGTAATTTATAGTTTTATACTGCTGCGTATATTGTTAAGTACGTATGTTTGTATATCTAATATACAATAAATTAATTAATTAAATGAAAAAAAGCTCAATTTTAATTTTCTTTTTTCATAAACTTTTATATCCACACCTGCAAAATAACAAAAAAGCTTTTGTATTTGCATATGATTTTATTAAGGCTGCCAATATACTGTTTTAAATATATTTTAGATTTACATGCATACATGCATACATAGTCCAATGTTAGCTCATTGAAGCGACAAGTAAATTTTCTATAAATTTTACTCCAAAAATATTTTATTTTTAAAGTTTTTTTTAATTTTCATGTTTGTTTGATTTATGAGAATTAAAAGCTTTTTTATTTCATGTTGGAAAATTTTCAACATTTCTGAAAATGCATTTCAACATTTTGTACATTGGTGGTAATAAAATGTTGAAATAATAATAAAAAAGGTGGATATTTATTTTAAAAGCGATGTAATTTTTTTGAGAGACATCTGTTGTGAATTATCAGAAATAAATATTTGTGACAGTTTTTTTTAAAGGTGATTAAGAAAGGAAAAAAAGCTATAAAACTTAACTAAAATTAAAATTGTGAATTTTTCAATAATTCACAATTTCACCATTTTAACTTTAAGTATTTGAAGAACATTATTTCGATTAACTTCCGTTGTTAGAATAAGGCCTCCATTAAAATCTTTAATATTTCAATCGGGTCAACATCGGAATAATTCGTATGTTTTTTCTTAATTTATTATTTACTAGGGCAGTGCTTGGATTATTGAAGTTAATACATAAATACTATAATATGTTTTTGTTTCATACTTTCATTTATTTTCTTAAATTTATTTAAAAAAAATATAAACACATTTAACATGTACATATACATATATATATAGTATATCAAAATTTAGATTTGCCGTTTTGTTTCCAGTAATATACATATATAGCAACTTAAAATTAAAAAAATTAATAATGAAGTAAATAATTTTTGACAAGAATAAGTAAATAGTGTTAAAAATTCAATCGTGCTGCCGTTTTTTTTAATTTGTACAATACATTTATATAGTCAAGTGCATAGATAGAAAAATATTCTTCTAAAGGCTCAAATTATAATACGAGTATGTAGTGTTTTTTGTACGGAAAGAAAATATTCTAAACCATTAAATGTTCTAACACTCTTCTGTAAGTTATATTCGCTAAGTAAAATATTTGCATAAATTCTGTGTAAGTTTTTGGCCGATATGTTTTTTATTCTTAATCTTCTTATCTGTAGATATTTATATTTTGTTTCGTTTTTTATGGAAATTAATCTTTCTTTAACATTTCTTATAATAATAACAAATTTCTTGAACCAAATCAAAAACAAGAATCTTATATGCGTTTACCTTGGTTATTGTTTGATATTGTTCTGAAATCAGTATTTTAGTAACTAAAAGTTGCAGATTTATTACTTTAAATGTTTGCTTCTTTTCTAATGAATAAAATAATTTTGAAAAAATTTCAGAATATAAAAACAATTTTATTTTTGGACTTCTGCCAATTTCTGTTTTAGGGTTTATTAAATTAAATTAGAACGTCAAATATATTTTTTAAATGTGTAACAACCAGATTATAAGATGATATTGAATAATTTTACATTCCGTTTTTTTTTGCATAAATTGAGGCGAATATTATGATTCGATCACATTAAGGTGATTATTATGATCACACGATGAAAAATTAATATAGATCGTGGTAAGAAGCACACGTTTTCGAGTTAAGCAGCAAACGATCACAATTTAATTAGATAATTATTTTTTTATTATATTTTTAATAACATGTTTCGAAATTCAAAAAATATAAAGATAAACAGAATAGCTAACATACATACAAAAATATATAATTTTTTTTTTCTTTTTTAAAAATTTACGAGATTTTTTTTTATCAAATTATTTTTTTACATTTTATTTATTGTAAACACCCAAGAAATTATGACATTTTTGACAATAGTGATTTGCATTCTTTAAACTGTCAACACAGTAGGGAATGCAACAGCAGCACCATAATCTGTAAATACATAATTAGAAAATAAACATGTACAAATTAATTTAAATTAATTAAAAAAATATAATGAAAAAAAGTAGTAATTTTTTGATGTTTCATGTTTGTGTAGCATAACTACTATAATAATACAATGTCTAACAAAGTTTTTTCGCATCAGCTGCGTCCAATAATATAAAATTTGCGGAAGGAACTGGTTTTCAATTGGGGGATTCAATTTGAATCGGAGGGTCACAAATTAAAACGTTTTAGTCTTTTTCGTAATTATTAAAATTTTAAATTCAAAATATTATTCCTAATAGTTAAAAAATTTTCAAATTTTCTTAGAAAAATCTACTTTCAAGTTTCCAATAATTCTTATCTCATTTATAAGAATTTTTAAATGTTTTTACTTTTTGACATCCGAAATCACTAAAAATCTTGAAAAAGGTCAAAATGGTGAAATATATATGTATATGCAAAAATCAAATAGCTGTGTGACAGAATATTTTTATAGTAATTTAATATAAATAATATTTCCAAAAGTTTTCGTTCTTATCAATAATTTGAATGATAAAAAGCATCATTCCGACATATTTTTTATTAAGAATTTAAAATAATAATAATATTGCATAATTATTAGCATTTAACGAATGTATGTGCGATGTATTTGACAAATAATTTAACTCTATATTATTTGTATGCAGATTGACAAAAAGCTACTTTATATTGCGTTTTCAAGAATCAATTCACAATTTCGTGATGTGAGAAACCAATGACGTCAACTGTTAACAAATGATGTGAGAAAATGAATTTAGCATTTTTAATATATGCCTTTATCTTGTCATGAAATTTTAAGATAAGCACCCAAATATGTAATTTCTACTTATCTTCTATGTTATAAAGTTTATTTTGCAATCAATTCAGTATTGCATTCTTTCAATATGTAACCGGCACATATTATTTTTCTTTCGTTCCAACATTATTTGTTTATTTGCTGAACAGGAGTGTAGTATTTATACAAATACATACAAATGTGCATGTTTACTTTTAAACACATTACATATACAATCACAAAACTTTTAAACAATAATTTTACTTATAGTTTGTACTTTATAGTAATTTATACATTAATCATATTTACCTGACGTGTGTTTACACATTTTAATAATAAAAAAAAAAGAGAAAACGAATAAAGAATAAATTTACATAAAAAAATGATAATTGAAACTATGATAATTTAAAAGTATGTAGAAAACATATTGTATGTATGTACGTATGTATGAGATAATTAAAATTAAAATATAATTAATTTGATTTCAGTTAAGTATAATTTTACTCACCCAACTAAACATAATATTAAACAAGCAAGATGTGTTTTATTAGAATTCTCATATTTAACTTCGGTTAAATTTCGTTCACCACAATTTGGGCATACAGCTATTTGAGGTCTAGGCCCAAAAGCTGCTGCCGGTATAGCTATAAAATAAAAATAAAGAAAATTTGTAAAAATAAAAAAAAAAATGTGCCAACGCTTGTAAAAGTTATATATAAGTGGGAAAGTATGTTTTTGCAATGTTTGAACTATGATTTTAGTACATTACAGGGTTATTTAAATTAATCAACCCTTGACAATTTCTTATTAATTAGTTCTCTTTTTGCTTTAATCCTGGAGTGACATGGGAAGTATTAGTATCGCAATTCCATTCTCGCTCTAACACTTTTTTACAAAATGTATATGGAAAATTTATGTTTGTAGAATTAACGTATGAAGTGTTTGTGTGTGCAACAAAGTTTAGTATGTAAACAAAATTTCTCATCAAATTTCATGGTTGCCAAACTTAACCCCATTGGCTTATCAATACTCAAAAAGTTTTAAAAATAAGAATAAAATTTGCATTTTATTCATGTAAATGTGGCTAAAATTATTCAATTTTAAAATGTCGAAAAATGTCGCAATTGTAATTATTTAAAATGTTTAAGCCCTCTAACAATAAAGATATGAATCATATGTAAATCAGAATTGATAACATCAAATTATTGACTTCTTATGTTAAATTGTATGAAATAAAATACCTACGCATGCAACCAGTACACATGTGTTCGAAGTTTTAACTATTAAAATAGGAATTTTAATTAATTTTAGTTGACATAATTAAAATTGGGGAATTTGACCAAAAATCTGATTAAGCTAAATGTCATGTGTATGTCAAAAAAATGTACATGTGTATATATGTTAGTTATTATAAAGATAAATTAAAATAATAATGTTTAATTTCGTTTATTATAATAAGGTCAAATAAAACGAATTAAAAATAATTGTTGCTACCAAATATTCAATTCAATTGTGAAATTTTAAATATGTACGAAGCAAAATTTTGCTTGAAGATCTCAAAGTTGTTTATGCATGCAGTTTATTGTGACAATGTTGCGATTTAATTTAACAGGGTATTTAATAAATACAAATTTGAACGAACCTTTTCAAAATAATTCTTGAACCGATAAAATTTTATCGTAATCTATTAAATAGACTATTTTTCTTGAAAAACTATGATGAGCGTCCATTAAAATACAAATCTAATGCCAAATTAACATATTCAGCAATGCAACTCATAATAGTTGAAATCGAATTGAATGGAAATTACAAATTAACTGAATGCTGTACAATTATGTTCTTAGAAATATTCTAGAGAAATTGGTCCTTTAATTTATAAGGGGCCCTGATCAATTGCAGTATTACTTATTACGAGGCTTTCAGCTGATAAATGTTTGCTGCTAAATTACCTATTGATTCAGTATTTTAAAGCAAATTATCAGTTTTGTTAAATGACATGAGTTTTTCAAATTTCACAATTCACTTTTATTTTGTAAATATAAAAATTTAAAAATATTTTGCATATTTAAACTTACGTTGTTGAAGTATCACAGTTGTTGGACCAGATGTTTGACTTGCATCATAAGTAGGGGGAGCTGTAGGAGGCATTTCTTGAAGTTGCTCCGGTACGTTCGGATACATATTTGATTTTTCCATTTTAAGTTTTTCAATTTTTATTCAATTATTTTTTTTAAAAATATTTCACTTTTAATTCGTTAATTATCTTTATTTTTATATTAAAAAACACTGAGTTCAATATTTTTCATAAATTTTTTTATTAAACTTTAAAAATAATTAGAAACGTTATAAGCAATATAGAGTTCGGAACGAAAAATTTGAAAAATAAGAAATATTTGAGACTTCCAACTAAATTCGAGTGTATCAATAGACTAACTTGAATTCCAGAGTAAAATATATAAAGATATTGGCATGTTTTAGAACTCAGACTAATAGTGTTTAGCAATAAGTTAAATGGAAAAAGCTCTAAGGAATCAATTGTTTCGTTAAAAATTAAAAAAAATTTGTTATTTTACACTTTTTTTGTTCGTGTTTTTGTTTTTTATATTTTTTGTAGTTGCTCTTGTTTGTATTGAATTGGGTGTTATTTAAAACGGAAAAATTATATGCATAGGTGCTCAGTCACTGAATAACTTGTTGCGAGTTTTGTTCTTTGCGAATTAATAGGACATTGGAAATATGAACGGATTATTAAAAATTGATAGTTTATGTGGTAAAGGTTTAATGCTGAGTGTTTGGAATTTATTTATTTTTTTTTGTTCTGCTTGCTAGAATTTTTTTTCCGTTCTTTAAGCATTATTGAGATAATCGCATTTGCTTTTTGATGAATACATGCGTATATGTTAATAAAAATAAAATAAAAGGCGTGATTTTTATTATAAATTTTATATTATGTATTTAAATAATATAAAATTGGGCATATTCATACAGAAAATTATTATAAATTCGTTACGAATTCCATTAATTTCGATATCCTGCATAGCTTACGTGATTAAATAGATTAAATTCGCAAAAACACTCCTTAAATTTTATTTTGTTTTTGTATTTGAATAACAAAATATTTGTTACTCCTGTTAATTAATAAACATTACAAACATTTAATAAATAGCATTTTCCTCTTTTTTATCGTAAAATTTAAATATTTAAGAGTTTTAAACTTAGGAAATTAGTTTAAATAATGTTTTTATATCTAACAAGTCCCAATGCTCAGAGAGAAACTTGAAAGCACGACCTTATTTTATATGGCCTTTTTTAAATCAAAGTGGCTATTTTTTGAGAAGAAATATTAAAATAAATTCACACTTATTATAAAGCAGGTAAAATTTAGAACATATATTTGAAAAATCAAAAAAATATATTAATATTTTCATTGATAATTATTTTAAAATTTTAAAAAAAGCGGAAAAACAACAAACACAACCTTCGCCTTCAACGTTTTATTTGTTACTGAAAGCATTTCATTATTTTTAAGTGAACAGCTTTTTTTTCTCATAGGGTAAGTTAACGCAAGATATGGGAAGTACCTGTGGTGTCAAGTTGAAAATATAATTAATGAAAGATAATTCTTAAATATTGATATAAATACGTAGTAAAGAAAAATTTTGAAGAGGGAATTAGAAAATAATATCTAAAATGCAATCAAATATTATTTGTTAAATACAAATTTTATATAAACTTCAAAATTTTACCTCTATTTTTATTTGAAAAAATATTAAAAACTTACTATCATTTATATTAATTACCTAAGAAAACAAAATATTTAAAATGTTTGGAAAAAACAATCATATATTTTTATGACCGGATTTGAATATTTTTCTATTTTTGAAATAAATGGTATTTTACCAAATGACTCAAAAATTCCGACTGTAAAATAACAGGTATTTTAAAATTTTTGTTCAGGTATTTTAAAATTCTTTCCGTTTAGAATTAAGATAGGTCATACATACACATGCAGGGGCATTTTATAAATAGATTGCTCTTGTTTACCTGATAATAAAATATGAAAAAAGAGCACAGCAAAATTTTTGAAGCACTCAATATAACATGTTTGAAATATTTTTAAAATAATTATTTAAAAAAAAAATTATTGGAAGTAGGTACATATTTATTTTTAATAACTAACTGAAATTATTTGAAACAATTTTATAAGTAACGTATGAATAATCGAAATGAGATAATTCAAATTGTTGAAATGTGTCAACCTATATTACTTTTAATAACATTTTTGTTCGCCGACACTACTCAACTTGCCTTATTGGGAAATACAAAATGTGCATGAAAAATCATACATCCTTCCTCATTAACATTTGAAACCATACTGAAATATGAATTTGAAATTTTTTATCATTTTTTCTTTCCTCCTACCTTTCTTTCTTTTTCGTGCAATAGAATTTAAATGGGAAGCTTTTTAAAAAATGTGTATAATATCCTGAGATTTTTTAAAATATTAATCTCTTTTTTACGTAAAAAAAAAGAAAAAAATAATAAAAAATATGACACGATCAGTGGCATTTAAAGAAAAAACCAACAACGAGGCCAAAAATTCGTAACATTTCGTAAAAAAATTGAGTATTGGGACTTGTTAGATATAAAGACATTAGTTTAAATTAAGAAAAATCCGTTTTCATTTTAATATGAATTTCCAATACATATTTCTACATTAATTGATTAAAAAACATTTTAATTCTATTATCTGACATTTTGCTTTTTATTATAGCTGTCAAACTATTTTTTAAGAAATTTTGAGTGAAACAATTCGTATGATTACACCGCAGGAATTTAATATGTTGGAAGGTTATTTTTAATTTGCCTTACCATTTGTAACGTTAGGAAATAATGGTGTAAGATAAAGATATGAGTGTATGTTTTTGATAGGCCGTAGCATTCTGAGTCGATTTAACCGTCCGCCCGTCCGCCCAAATGGTAACTTAAATACTAATTAAGCTAAGCTTACCAAATTTTCACAAATAATTTGGAACAATAAATGTCGTAACTCTACCTTAATTGAATGAGATCGAGATCTACAACTTTAAAAGTTATTTGGCTATGTCTCAGAAATCATTGAAGCTATAATATCGAAACTTCGCTAAAACAAATGTATCTTTGGTTTAGTTAGGTGTGATAAAAAACGGTGAATGAATAATGCTGAAATTTTGGATAAATTAATATGGTAAAACGGTAAATATCATTTCCGTGCGAACGTATGTTCATGGGATACCACGTTCGTACGGGTATCACAGAGTTGACATGATCAACTCTTTTCTTTCTCAGTTTTTTTGTATAAGTTACAAAACCTTAATTGGAATATTATAAATAATTAATAACGTTCAGCATAAGATTGATATGCACAAGTAAATCCTTTTAGTTTTATAGATTTATCGATAAGAACAAGAGAAGCGAAAAAAAAAAGGATTTTTTCGAATTAATTTAATTTAACGAATTTACGTTAACAAAATACCGAATTATTGATGTAGAAATGACGACGTACATACGAGTATATAAAGACTTTTAAAACGAATTCGATCAAATCTTAGACGATAGTTAGGATTAGCTGTTTATGGATATTATCTTAGATTTGGGTTTTCCATTTACTAAATATTTTGAAATCTTTCGTTTATTCAATTAATTTTTAAATATTTAACGAGTTTTATTGTGTTGTCTTAACTTTGGTACATATTGTACTTCAATAATTTGAAAATTTTTGTTATGTATTTTTCGGCTGTAAGCTTACAAATGTGGAAATTTTGCTAAAATACAATTAGATAAATATTGTTATAAATACTGGTGTTCTTACAACTATTGGTAATTAACCCTTGAATGCGGGAAGTTTCAAAAGACAAGAATTAAGAATATTGTTAGAAATTCCTTACAGAGTTCTTCAATGATAATTTCATATCTTAGCACTTTAATTTGAAAAAAAAAATGGCTTGAATCAGTAATAAACGTCAAATGAAACTCAATTTTTTTGAATTTTTTATGTTTATAGAATGCATGCTTAAATATATTAGAATAAGTTTTTAATTACAATATTCAAATAGATTATGAATGCGGATTCATAATCTTCATATGTGAAAGATTTTACATAATATTTATTCTAAATTTTGTACACATTAAAACAATAACCCAAATCACATTTCATACATTTTTGATTTTAAAAAAATTAAAATTAATAGAATTGATTTTTATCTGTCATACGTTCCAAGAAAATGTTCACAATGCGTACAATGATGCAGACCATATTTTAAACTGTTAACATAGTAAGGCATCAAACAAAAACACCACAATCTGAAAATAAAATTAAAATTTTAATTCAAAATTTAAAAAAATATTAAGATAAAACAATTACGTTAAAACTGAAAAGTGATGTCTACTGAAATTAAATTGAGTAGAGTATTGTATGAACTTGCCCAATGGAATGAGAATAATTCTCCTTTACGAAAATACAAATAAATTTAATAGCTTCCAAAAAATAAAAAAAAATTAAAAAAATTCTACCCAATTAACATTGATAATATGGTAAAGATTGACATTTCTCAATTAGTTGACAAAACTCTACTCACAGTAGACATTCAAAATCGAGGCTGGGTAGGTTCGATATATTCAAAATTATTCGGAACCACCCTGTGAGTAGATAAAATTCTGCTCACGGGGCCGGTAGTCTCGATATATTCCAAATTATTCGAAACCACCAAATATTCTTACCCTGACAAAAACATTAATAAAGCCGCAATATTTGTTTTGGGACCAATTTTATGTTTAACCACAGTTATACCACTTTTACCACAGTAAGTACAATTAGCCATTTGTGGTTTTGGTCCGAATTCTGTTTTGGATCCTTAAAAAAAAGCAAATAAATATTTTATAAAGACTAAATTTAATGGAATAAAATATGGCTGATATAAGTGTATAGTTACCATGTTTTAAAACAAAATGAGTTGATTTATTTTTCATTGATGAATAATATTCCCTTTGACTTTCTTCGTAGCTTGGAATTAAAAATTTTTCTTTTTCATTCTCAGTAGATGAAAAATAATGATTTTCACTTTCCTCATAGCTTGGCGGTGGCGTTAATGATGGCGTAAACGATGGCGTTAGCGGTGGTGCTGATGGATCAAAATTACTATAGTTGTAATGTACAATTGGAATTATTTCAATGGGATATGCTGGAGGACACATTACTTCGGTAATTTTGTATATTTCTATTTTATAAAGCTGAAGAATTTAAGAGAAATTTTAAAATTTTTTCAATCTGTAGCGTATATTAAAATCAAATAAATAATTAATGAAACACATTTTGATTTCTCAAATTAATGATGTGTATGGTTAGTATGTTCTGGGGTTTTCCAGAATTAGATATTATATGAATATGGAAAAATGCTTTCCCAAAAAATGATTTGTAAACTTTTATGTAATAAAAAGCACTTATAATTCACTCGCTTTTGCTAACTCAGAGAGTGGACTTTTTAAAACTCTTATATTATTGTTTACATCTATACATTTGGGTATGTATGTATATGTACATAAATGTGAGTATGTAGTATTATATGTGTTTGTGTTTACATATTAGTGTCTTCAAAGAAAAATTTATAGTAATGTTTTATAAAACTTCGTTCGTTTGTTTATTTTTTTCACAACAACACAAAAAATTATTACTTTTTAATATTTTTAAAGATCGTTTCACTTAAAATATCTTTACTCTACTGAATCATTCTCGGAGAAAAAATTTTTTTAATGTTGATTTTTAAAAGAAAACATGAAAAAACTGGTCAGAAAGCTTTTGATCAGTATAATTGTGAAAATTAGAGGGGCAAGAGGCTGATATGTACAGGAAAGGCTTTTTAATCGCTTTGTTTTCAAATTTGTTTTTAAAAATACCCACATAATATAGATTGTTTATACGTCAGTATAGATATAAGATATATTATATATGAAATACTTTGGGTTATCCTAAATGCAAACTAGTTATTTTTATAATTTTTTCTTTATAAATTAACATATGAACGCTTAAAAATGAGAAATTTAAATGCTAAATTGAAAAATTATAAGTATCAATGGTTTTCTAAAAAAAGCACATTTCAATTTTAAGATTTGAATTGAAATTTAAGAATTTTATGATTTTAAGTATTTTTCACTTGAACTTATGACCTCAAATCATAGACAACTTCTTTCTAAGATCAACTTGCATTCCTAAACGGACTAAAAATTATAGACGGACAAACATTCAAATAAAATTTAATAAGTTTATAATTTTCAAAATTTGTTGGGAGTTTATTCTAAGCATTATATATTTCGCTTTTTAAATTCATATTATTTTTAGTGAATAAGTATTCGAAATTTATTAAAACCGTTTTATAATAAAAATTTGTTTTTTTCCGTTTTGACCTCAAAATTACTGATTAAAAAAATAAAAGTTTTCTCAACTAATGGTTTTTAAAACAGCACATTTTGTCTTACAAAATTTACATAAATTGAAATGCAGTAAAATTGAAGAATTTATCCAATTACATACACACATGCATAAATCGTTAAGTAAAATTTTCTTGGTTATTCTCCCAACTTGTAAGTTCCTTGGAGTTTTTCCTATTCAGGTTAAATAGTGTAAAATTTATGTCGAAAGTGAATCGGAAAGTATTCCATCATATATTTTTGTAGGCATAAAAATTTGTGAAGCGTTGTTATGTTATGAAAATTTTCTCATTTAGGATCACAAATAAATGTAGCCGAAAGATGGCTAATAGTAATTTAAAATTTCGTTTTATGCTTTTGTTTTTCAGATTTAAAATTTTAAGAAAATTAATAATTTACGTCCACATATAAGTATTTATGTATATATGTATGTATGTGTGTTAGAAACTGGTTTTTTTTTAAATTTATTTTTATAAAATATAATTTTTGTGATATTTGTATTAGAGTTGCCGAGTTTATTAATTTTACTCTGATACTTTTTTTTTTAATTTTACTTGTCATTTTTCTGATATTACCATAACATGGTTGAAGGTATGCCAAAGCCACGAATCTATAAAAATTGCGTTTCGAGTAAAATCGGTTTTAAAATTTTGTATGCCTTTAAATTTCATATATATATGTATGTAAAACTTTAAAAATGCGATATACATATGTGAGTATAAGAAGAACTTGAACATGAACAAGAACAAGAAACACATACTTACTTAAATAAACTTTCATATAAAAAATACATAGGTATGTTGTTAATTCTTCAACTTCAAAAAACAGAACCAAGTCTTATCACGCATAGATCGCTCCCTCGAGACCTATCACTCTGACATATTCGAGCATCTTGTGGAGACCTGTTGGTGAGTGCTGTCACCTGGTTCCTACCCATTTGTTTTACTTGCCCTTATCGTTTTTCTATTTCTGAGAATTTCGTCGTGTTAATCTACGCACACCGTTTGTTGTTTCAACTAATGCATTAATTTCATAAATATTTTTTTGTTCACATTTTTCTACTTAAAATAGTAACGACCTTCCAAAATGAAAACTTTGGCATGTATCGGTAACACTTGTTTTCACGAAATTTCCTTAGTCTTTCACATAATACACATAAAGTACTTAGTTAATCACATAATAAATATACATATGTACGTATTTAAATTTAAAAATGAAAAATTTTTCATGAACCTATAAAATTTATTTTTTTGGATTTACGAGGTTTTGCTGTTCTTATTGTTATTAGATTCCAAAGATGATATTTATAACAAAGAAAAAAATATTATTTACGTGTTATTTTTGCTACGTCTTCTTATAAAAAGCAATTTAATTAAAAAAAAGATTGACTTCACACGTTTTTATAATTTTATATTAACGGGGCTGATCTAGAAATATGGCTGATAAAATAATTTTATTTCAAAAAAACACAATATAAAAACATTAAAATTTAGAAATTCTGTTGAAGGTGTTTAGAAAACAGGTTCAGGGGAAAAAAAAAGAAATAATTAAGAGCAATGCAAGGATTTATAATTATGATTGTTTTTATAACAGTGTTGCCATGCAAAATAAAAATTTATATCGATTATTATAAACACATACTTATTTACGTAAATACATATTAATAAGATTTAAATAGGAATGACTCATACTCAGGAAAATTGTAGTTCTCAATATTTATTTTTTAATGATTCACATTAAAAATAAATATGTCGTCAAACCATATTTTGCATGCATTCATATTTAAGGTTATTTCAGATTACTAAAATATATAGATATTTATTTCCATTTACATACTTACATATAAATATATCAATCTGTACAACTTATATTTACCTTTAGTTTTATGTAAATGTTGATAAATGTGAATTTAAGACTGATTCAGGGGGCTCAATTTTGAGCTTTTTTTTTTTTTTGTGGAAAACTGTTAATAACATGTTCAATAAATAAGTTAACTATAAGGAAATAATGAGGGAATAATCTAGAAATGTCAAAAAGTATAACATCGGTGGCCTTTTGACACATCAAAAACGTCAAATTAATGGCTTGGTGAAGCTTTATTCAAATATTACAAGGTTTAAAAATAGAGCCAAAGCGGAGAATGAAAACGATGAACGATTTCCGTTGTTAATACAGACCAACAGCGGAACGGTAAAATCCGTTACACACAAATGGACAATATTTAAGAAATAAATTAGGGTATTAGGCTTTTTTACTGCTCTCGAGTACACTCACACGAGACTCATATTCTATATAAATTCTGTGTATTCCATTTAAATTCTGACATTTCACTTTTGTTCTATTTTCAACTTAATATATGAAAGGGTTCTTAAGGCCTCATTTAAACGTCAAAAATATAAATATATTAAAGTATTTTTAAAGAATATTTATTTTGTTTTATTTATTTAATTCATACACGTTTGTATGAATGTAAAGGAAATTACTAATAAATTTGTAAGCACTAGAACGACAAGTTAATGTCATAACATTGTAAAATAGAGGAGCCATAACACCATGCATATGAAAATATACCATATATGTATGTATATAAATACAATTAGATTACATATTTATATATTTAATTATATGCTTTATCCTTTATCCTTTATCATATTTGTATTTTTTTGATTGATATTTAATCAATTTGATTGAAATAATAAGTAAATATTGCAGTTACAGTTATTTATAAGTGTGGCGCCAAAAGAAATACTGACAGATATACACACACACGAGTATATGAATGCCCTAAATACATTTAAAATGAAAAATATATTATATTTCCTGTATAATTTTGATTTGGAATCCGAATTTAAATATATTTGCATTCATTTACATACTACCTTTAATAAAAATGTATAAAAATGTAAATTCTTAAATTATTTTAAGACTCAACATAAGGATGTAATACATATGTATATGCATACAAGATTTTAATTGGCGATCAATTGAAAATAATAAGAAAGGTAAAGTTAAATTTTAAAATGTTTTATGGTTACTCTAGCACTCTATAATTACTGAATTCCAAATTTCATAAAAATTATGTAGCTGCCTTGTCAGCTACTCGCAAAGTTGTTTTTATTTAAAAAGTACACACAAGTAAGTTAGGCCCAAAATTGCCTGATCGCTCCGCATGTCGTTCCATTTTTCCACCTGCAGTTGGCTTGCTCTATTGTTACATTGCGTAACAACAGCTTGCACGTACTCAGAGGCATCCTCAAGTCTTCCTTTTTAGATACTAAAAGTTGTTCCATCCCGCACGAGCTTATCCGATCTGCAGTTTCTTTTCATTCCGCTATGATCCGGAGTCGAAATCATAGCAATTTCGAACGATTGACCATCTCGTTGACAATTGATCTGCAATCCCGGATCGTTCTAGAAATGGACGTCTCCTCTTCCATCGTTCTTATCGCTGCTTGACTGTCCGTGAAAATGCTGATTAACCTATATAACATCATATTTTCAACCAGCCATTCTGAAACTTCGTTTATTGCAACCACCTGCTCCTGAAAGACTGGTCTGGAGAAAGAGAGAAAGAAGTAGTCCGAATGAAAGAGATTTCCACACCAAGTTCTTTGCAGTAGACTCCCGCCCCAATCCTATCATTCAGTTTGAATCCATCCGTGTGGAGGTGGATAGAGCCTATGTTAAGCCTTATTAAAAAAATTCACTTTTGACTTTATACTTTATTTCATAACATAATAGCAAACATAATATTTTACATATAAATACATAACAGATTGCACTTTAAAATATATTCACTTAATCATATATGTATTTCCAAAATTTAGTGACTAATTTATTTAAAATAACTTAAGTCAAAGTAACATAATATACTCATATATAAAAATGTAAAAGGTCAGAAATTTTTCTTAAAACTAAACTTAAATTAAACATGTTAATTAAATAAGTTGTAAGTACGCTATATTGTTAGAATAGATGATTTTTAATTTAATTTCAATTTCTTGCAACTTCCAATATAATTATTGCACTTCGAACAATAATGGGAACAGGTTTTAAGCCAATCGGTGCAGTATGGAATACACCAGCAACAAACACATCTATGTAGAAACAAAAGAGACAATAACAATAAATTTAATAAATTTTAAAAAGTTATAAATTTGTATGTTGACATTTTATGTGTAGTTGTGTTGATATACATTGTATTTTAAAGATTATCGTACCCTACCACGTGAGGGAGAAGTCCTCGTAAAATTATTCAGCGCAAAATTTTCCGCTTAAAGAAGACGTCAGCAGCTTGAGTATATATATATATACATATATATATATACATATTCGGCGTAAAATTCTACCGTCCGCCCATCAGATTACATGATAACTCAAAAACGAAAAGCGTGTAAACATGATCAAATTTTCATAAATCACAACGGCTGCTACTATAATTGGGTCAATTCGAATGACGGATTCGGGTAGCTGCGATAGAGCTCAAAAAAATAATTTTTAATATTTCAAAAACTTATAAAACCAACTGCATGAAATTTGACAGTCACATACTCAATTTTAGTTCAGATATATCTACGATCGGTTATGTGTTGACCACATAAGATTTTTTTTTTTAAAAAGAAAAATTCTTTATCAAAGCTTATAATAAAATCGCTAAAATAGAAAAATTCAAAGAAAAATTCTAAAAAACTTTTATTAGAATTCGAATATTTATCATGTATTAAAATTATAAAACATTTGAGGGTTTGATTAAAATTTGACATTTAAATTCAATAAGGTGCTTTTATTGATTTTACTTATGAGTATGAAATAAGTCTATACTTACCCAAGTAAATACATAATTAATGCGCCAGCGTGAGTATGAAAATTATTTTCTAAACGGACTACAGTTTTTGTAATTTCATTACAGTTCGGACATAGCTCCATTCGTGGAGAACAATTGAATTCTAATACAAAAGAAAATAAGACAAAAAAATTATTTAAAATTATAAAAAAAATTCAAAAGGTTCACTTATTATAAATTTACAGGTTCATTTTTAGTCAATCATCAAAAACTTGAATTTTACAAACTTGTTTTTTGTACATACCTAATTATATGTAAAATTTCTTGTTATTTCGTCATTAGTTAAAATTGGTCTGTCCGCATTTTGGGCGTTGACAATTGGAGTGCAACAGATGTTTAAAATTTTTGTTTAAAATAAAATATTTTTAGTTTTAATTTTTATATCAAAAAATTTATTTTCTTTAATTACAATCTTACATCCTGTATTTGTCATATCAAACTTCTTCATACTCTTTCATACAAATTTTTAACTGAAGGATGTTTCTAACATTATGACTTGCTACTCAAAATATGTGCGTTATATAGTTTTGAAATTTTAACTAAGAGCTTTAAAAAATGCTATCAGCGAGTATTTGTTAAGTTATTATAAGTTCCAAGAAAAAAGTTACAACTTTTGCAATAATGGTTGGCATCCTTACATGACCTTAAATAATATGGTGCCATACTACAACAAAGGCATCTAGTTAAAAGAAATAATAAAATTCATTATTGATTGCTAATAAATAAATCTGAAGCAAACAATTGATAATAATTGAACATAATAGGGCCTTACTTTGAAAATCAAATAACTAAATGATAGTGACATTTTATAGTCAAAAGTTCGATATTATTATTGTAAACAGACACCAGTTCGTACAATAGATTTGTGTCTGCAATACAATACCTTAGCGACTCGATTCTCAGAATAAGCCCTAATATTATACTCGCACATATTAAAACACTGTGTACATACATATATTTGAGCAATATAAGCTTAAACACATACATTTATGAAAAAAGAAATTCTTCTGTCTTTAAAATTTTATATTTTACACATGTAATTTTTAATTTTGTATCTGTTTGATTGCTTATTATTGCATTCCATATTTTTATATTCAAGTGTGCACCCATGCAACTGTATGATCGCATGCATTTGAGCCATCAAACAATTTTTTATTTTTTACAAATTGATTGCAATTTAATAATTTCCAATAGTTTGATTGCTTAATTAATTTGTAATCAAACTAATTGCAAAACAAAAAATTGTATCTCTTCTTGAGCTCTTAATAGTATCCTAGTATGCCCGAGGATATTATGTTGTGCAGGCTTTGTTAATGTGTGCGAACGTTTAAATTATTGATAAATTCATATTAAACCATTTAAGCATACCCTAGTAAGAATAAAATAAAAGCCATTATGTGTGTATAGGTATTAATTCCATATACAATTTTAGTAAATCCGTGATTCCCGCAGTTCGAACATACCATCTTTACAGGTCTCGGGCCAAATTTAACTAAAATGGAAAAGTTTTCAATTTTTTTTTTTTTGTATTAAAAAACTTCACATAATTTCATTTTTAAAGTTAAGAAGTAATAGAAAGTGGACAAATTCGATCAATTAATTTTTTAAAGCATTTGAAATGTGATTTTATAACCAGTTTTTAAGTATAAAAAGTCAATTATTCATTGACTAAATCCTTAACATGAGACAAATCTCAAAATTAGCGGCTATCACTATTAAAATTATGGACAAACGCTTTTCAATTTATCTAAGTAAGTACACCTTACACTAAAATAAAGCATATGTACCTGATTGGCACAAGTTAGATTAAACATGTTATGTCAAACATGAAATGTCATATTTGAAATAAAATATGTATATGGCATTTATGCAAATAATCGCAGTTTTGCATAGAGAACATATGAGTTTTTGATGATTGTTTGTTGAACAAAAAAAAAATAAGAATAATAATTATACAACCTTGTGGAGGCTTTATATTTTGATTATTTCCGTCTTTAGTCTCATCAACTTGAGACACTTCTTGTTGTTGCTCTTGTTGTGGGTGTTGAAGTAAATTATTAGTGGAATTATTTTCAATTTGAACTGATCTATTTTCAATTTCAGTAGATATCATTTCATTTGGTTGGCCTTGTGACCATGAAAAATTTCTTGGAAGTGTTGGATATTGTCCTGGTTGAGTGTATGTTACATATGATTGATTTGGTTGTTCACGAAAAACATAAACTGCAGATCCAGATACTGTGGTATGATTTTGTGGTGGCATAACAGAATGAGAAATATAGTTAGTTTGTGGTACATGTACATTGTTAAGTGGTGTATACACATGACTTTGTGGTGATATTGCATGCGTTGCAGGTCCACTAAATTGATTATATCTGGGTTCCATATAACTATAATTCATACCAACAGCTTGTCCAACATTAATATTTTGTGGAGGAACGGAATATGTTGATGTTTGGGAATATGTTGATGCTTGACTTGGAGTTCTAGTGTGCCCCATATGTGGAACATTGTTAACTATAATTCCTTGTGATGTTTGTGATGTTTGTGTTATCATTTCTGGTACTGTATTTAGTTGAGAATATTCCAATTCAGTATTTCCTTTATCTATTTTAAATAAAAAATAATTTTTTCATAAAATTTAATTTATCAAAAATTATTGTAGAAAATTAATTAATTTACATTACTGAATGTGTGAGAGGGTTTTTTATGCCACGTTTCAATTTATATGTACGAATTTTCTTTTTAATTTCAACTATGACGTTGTTCTTTTAAATATGTATGCACAAAGCACTGAAATTTTTTTTCGCACAAATTATTTTAAATTTCACAATTAAATTTTGAATTGTTTACCAAATTTTGGTTCAAAAGTTGGTTAAAGCACCGTCCTTAACAATTATTCAATTCTGCTTAATTTTTAACACATTTGGGCACTCTTTATTATATGACGTCAAAATTTTTATAATATAATTTTATTTTATTTTCCTATTTCAGCAGATAATTCCGTTCTGTAATCTGCATAAGGCATACCCATTTTATTTTCATATACCTTTTTAGATACTTTTTTTTATTTTTACGTGCGCCGGTGTTAAAATGTTCAAAATTTTAAAGTAATGTCAACAATAATATCAAATTTTTTGCATCTGCTAAACAAGCGTTTAAGTACTTAAATGAGATGGACTGTGCTTTAAAAGATGTTTACTGAGAGAGCTTTTAAGTTTCGGACAAACAAGAATAATATACTTTTCAAAGCGAAATAGCAAAAAAGGTGTTTGCGATTGTAAATTATTTTGAATGTGACCAAGAGCGGAATTTTCATTTTACGTATAGGTTATTCCTGCGTATGTAAAAGTAGTTAACAGGGTTGGTGCTTGTTTTTATCATTTAATTTACTTTAAATTCTAAAAATAAATTTAATTAAATATGTTTTGTTTTTTATTCAGCAATGACTTTGTAATCTGTTTTCTGAATTCCTTTCTGAATTCATCAATGATTGTGTTAGTTTAAATATCTTATTAAATTTTTTCCAATCTACTTTTACATAATTCATTTCCAGCAGTGGTACCAACCTCAGATGGGCGAATGGAACAACATGTAATTACTGATTTTATTTCAAATAGTATGTTAAACATAAACATACATACTTTTGAATCTTAAATATCAAAATAAAATGCTACATAATTTTTAATCAGATTAAAAGATCACGCATAAATACCCAAGAGATTAACTGAGAAACTATATAAATGTATAAGTACAAATTTATATACAAAATATTATACAAATTTATACGGAGAAAGAGAAACTAGATGCAGAATAAAAATATGAGTACTTTTAACTACCTAATACCCACCACTTTTAAAAAAAATTTTTGTGAGAAAACTGATTTTCTCTTGTTTTTAGCCAACTGAGATTACAACAGATCATAAATTGTCAACGTTTTAATGAGCTAATTTTATTGAAGCAAATTGTTCGAGTGACAGTGGAATCAAAATAATCCGAAAGCACAGATTATTCAAAAACCATAAGAGACCATGATATTAGGATGTAGATTTGTACACCGGGGGCAACAGTACACCGCGACCACGTATAACCATCTATTGTGCGCCCCTATGCGAGTGCGGGCATGCACTACAGCACACGCTCGAGACCCACTTTCCTGATGAACTCAAGCAACTTGTGAGGACCAAAAGACCGTAACTCCGCCACCGTTAGAGCAAATGATATTAGGATAGTAGGGAAGATGAATTTTTCATATTAAGTAGGTGAGTAAATAATTGAAAGATTTATTTGCGAGTATTCGGTATTTTTGTCAATATTTTCACACATTTATAAATTTTTCTATTACATGCTGCTTTCCATACACATGACCTTAGACCCATGTACAAACTCACACATACACACGTGAGTGTATCCGGAATTCTACAAAGAATTTAGTTTTCTTCATGTTCCATATTATTGTGCCGTTACTGTTTCCATAAGCTTTTTTTATGTTATTTTTTAACAATCGCTCTTCATAAAAATCATATGATTTTAAATTAGAATGTTTTATTTTCATCTTACAGGTTTTTCAATTGAATTTCTATGAGTAATTTATTTTTACGTAAAAACCCAATCCGAGAAGAGATGGTAGAGTTGCTTTGATTTTTAAGATTTTTGTTTTATGTCAATTAAATGAAGGCACCAAAATATCGCGTATGCTATAACAAAGCCGAATGTTACTATAGTTGCTATATTTAAACCTTGATAAAACTATTTGAAGCTATATACATATTTCATTTATTATATATTGAGCTTTAATAAAAATATTTTTGACATTCATGTATTTTGAATATTCATAAGATCTTTAAAGAAAAGAAATTTTTTCTATATTATTTTATATAAAGTTTTATTAATAATGTTAAACACATAAGAATTAATAATAATTTTATTAAAAATTTAGTTAATAAAACGTTGACACCTGTAGGAACTTTTATAAGCACCAAGAAATTCATTACAATCTGGGCAAAAGTGTTTGATTTCTTTCAGACCATCCAAAAAATATGGTATGCAACTGCAGCAAAAGCATCTAAATTTGAAAAACAAAAAATTTAAATATAATTAAATAAATTATCACTGGCCCATCTGAACTCATATGCAATTAGAATGAATATGCCATACATTGGAGGAGGAACAGAATAGAGGAGAACTTTTACTATTTTCTCTGTTGATTTTCTGTTCCCGTTAGCCTCAGCTTAGAGTATGAATATCACCGATTTTAGGGGAAAATATATGTTAACAATTTCTTACCCAAATACTAATAATATGAGTGCAATTGTATGTGTAAAAGCGTTAATTTTCTTAATAACTTTAGTTTCAATAATTTTCATACAATAAGGGCATCTCATAATTTCTGGAGTAGTTTTAAATACACCTACGATTTCACTTTCTACAAAAAAACCTTCAGTATTAAAAATCAAATTTAACAAAAAAGAAAAACGATCTTACCATTATTTCTTATAGAATTTCTTGCCTGTTGATTTTCACATTGAAATGGATATGAAATTTGTGTTCGTCTACCGCATTCGCAACGGGATTCAATAACACATCTGTGATCTGATAGCAGCAACGACTCATTTGATTGTGAATTCAATTGTTTTTGATTTAATTCATTATTCACAGTCGACTGGGTACAATTTGCGTAATCTAAAAAATTTACATAAAAAACGAATATAAAATATTTGTGTATTTTGATTAATAATTTATAACAAATTATTGTGATGATTGAGTAAGGCAGGGTGCCATAACGTCGACAAAAATATGTTTTTTATGATCATCCTATGGCTAGAGCTCGAACGAACACATCGAAAGTAATAAGGAGCCTTTTGTTTTGCAAATGTATTAAAACTGCTAAGTTTGAATTTCCCTTCTTACCTAATTTAATTAACAAAATTTAGGAAAATTTCTAAAATAAATTTTTGGCTATTTTTTTGTACGGTTCAATAAACACATTTGGTTTTGTATTAGGTTGTTTATTAATTTACTTTAAAAAAGTACAAAAATATTAATTTTATAAAACTCAAGGTGAAGACCGGTACGTAAAAATATTCCAAAAATTTCAGATATGTAGCTAAAATTATTCCAACCTAGTGAGTACGATGGACATTTGTGGGAGGACGGCGTGTTCCTGTTTTATAGATTCTCAGTCTTGTGTTGCAATATGGGCAGTAATGTTTCAATTCTTTAAGGTCATCAATGAGATATGGTAGGCAACTGCAGCAAAAACATCTAAATATAAAATTTTATGTGATATTAATTAGAGTTCTACATTCAGGCGTTTTGTATTTAGTATTTTTGAAAGTAATTTTACTATGAAAAATTTAAAAACCTTGGTCAATCCGAAAAATAAACGAACAAACTTTTTAGTTCTTAAAATTAATTCACAGTATAGAAATAGTTAATTCGCAATAACAAAAATATTCCGAAATAATATCTTTCTATTCTAATCGAAATCATTCTGCGAAAATTAAATCCGAATATTGTTATAAAGCACAACAGTAAAAAGTCCTAATGTTATTGTTTAGCCAGAACACGCCTTAAAATATTTTAAATGCTTATATATAATTTAAAGTCATATATAATCGTCTTACCCCATTAAACATAAAATTAGTGCATAAGCATGCGTTGTAACACCAGGGCCCCTAACAACTTTACTAGGCACAACTTTACTACAAAATGCACACATTGCCGGTTGTGATTTTGCAGCAAGATCAGAGTCCTCTTTGAAAAATAGTACAAAGAAAATTTTAAAATTAATCTATGTAAATTCACAATAAACAAAGAAATTTTTTTTTACTACTCTTTGCAGAACTTGTTGTTTTTTGGTTTCGTATTTCTGTTGCAGTTGGTAATGGACATCTAATTATAGGTATATCATCAGTTTTACTTTTATTTGGAAATTCTCGGCCACCCAACGATTTTATTTCTGATTTTGTTTGTTTATTACATTTTGATGTAGTAGGAAGTGAATCAAACTGTTTGAGAGCAAGTTCTGAACCTGACAAACAAAAATGTAAAAAAAAGTTACGATACAAATACATAAACGTTCAAAGAAAATCATGTGAGCTGTCAAAAAAACGATAGACAAAAAAAAACAAAATTGTAATGTAGAAGTTAAATTTTGAAGTGTGTTTTTTAATTGTTTATGCACATATTTGACAACTTGAATTACGGAATTTTGTATTTTTTTTTCTGCGAGATTTCACTATAACATACTCGTATATTTCACTGACTATAACATGATTTCACTCTTTGAAACTTACCAATCATAAACTGCTAATGAAATTTATTTAAAACTATATATAAGTACCAAAGTAATTATGACAACTTCCAATCACTTTCAATTCACAGTTTTATAAGCTTATGTTACAAAATAAAAATTATATAAAAACGGACATGATTACACAATCATCAAAATAACGTTTCAAAACAAATTAATGCAAAAGTAGAACAAAAAACTAAAAAAAGTTTAAAAAACCCAAAGTTCAATGTCAATACACACTTGTTTGTGAATAAATATGAAATAAAAAATATTAAAATAAAACGAATTTGTGATACCCGTATGCATGACCCGCCAGTTCTACGGATGTATAACTGCCTTACTTTGCGTAATCACACTTTCTTTGCTACTCCTTACATTGTAAAGTAAATATATAGTAAGAAAGGAGTAATTACCTCACAATTGTGGGGTATATGTTGGGTTTTAAACCTAGGTTGATTATTATACTTATGTAGTTGATTGATTGTATACTTGAACATTGATTTGGTGGTTACAATTAAGGCTGGTTTCGGTGGCATTTAAGAATCAGTGTATTTATGTTTACCTTATGAAAGTGGTACATATTTGTAGGTTTTGTGATAACACCCAATAACAACATTCTGTATATACATATACAGAATTGTTAAAGATTTAACGAACCGATTTGTGTGTATTTATTCGAAAATTTTTATCACTTGTTGAGTATCTAAATTAAATTATTTTTATAAAGCAAATTAAAAAAAATATAAAGTTTTAGTAAAATTGTGTTTGTATTAAAATTTAAAAAGAAATTAACTAAAAAAGCTTTTGGAAAAAACAAAAACTTAACGAAAGATAAAACTATTTTATAGCATTAACGAACACATATGCAAATTTTTCAAATTTTCATCATGCTCAATCGTAAAAGAAAACAAAAACAGACGGAAACAATTTTCTCTAAAAATTTCAAATAAATTTTCTACTCATCTGTTATAACCTTAAATTATAAGTTTTTCAAACATTCTTTGTAACCAATAATTTATCCAAATATTTCGAAATTCTCAATTTGTACACAAACGTGAGGGACTGAAGAAAAATTTCTTTCAACTGAAATTGATTTTCTCTTCGAAAATACAACATAAATTTTGGAGTTCACTAACCTGATGTTTGCTTGTCATTGACAATTTCGTCATATGATGGTGGAGGAGCTGTGGGACTCATTGGATTTCTGTCCATAATTCGTTCCTTTTTTAATCTAATTCACGTATATAAAATGAAATTAAAACTAATTTGAAACACAGTAACTATCAAAATATTCCTTCAACAAAATAAAGGAAAGTTACAACACAAAAGAGGGTATTTTTCTTACTAAACAGTATGATAAGCTTTATCATTAATTATTGATTTACTCAAATAAAAAAAGTTTCTCTTTTAGCCAAAAATAAAATTAAATGTTTACCAAGTTCTTTAATATTTTCTAATAAATTTTCGTATACAATGACATCACTCAATTAAATTACATGAAAGTATTTGTGCGGTAAATAATCTTAAATGTGTATGTATGTTTGTAATGTACGTAGGAATATATATAATGCACATGTCTCTACCCATAATGCTCAAATTTCACAGTTTACTATCGTTTGTTTTTTAAGTATTCCAGATTTTGAATAAAATTTACTAAATTAGAAATTTTCTACGTTACAAGTTTTTCCACTACGTCACAAATTTTTAATATTTTTTATTTTCTATTATACATATTCATATATTATTTTACTGCCAATTAAAAATTTTTGCTAAATACCGTCAGATTTATATTTTACACAGGCATTCATGAATTAAAATTTTTGAAACATTAATTGTCAGACTTATTAAGCTTTATAACTTGTTAACGTAAAAATTTGATTTGAATACTTTGCATACTTATTTTCAAGAATTATTTTACAAATCAAAAATTAACGTAAATTTGAAATATCGGCATATTTGATTTCGCATCTAAATGTTTAAAAGTAAGTGTATGTAAATATATACTATGTACGAGTACGTAAATATTTGTTTGCTGATAGTAAACATATGTGCTAATGAAAATATATCGAAATATTTACTTTGCAGAGATAAAATTATATGCATGTACTCGTAGGTAGTAAATTTTTGATAAAGCTTTTATTTTAATTGAATCGAAAATTCAAATGTATCTTCGCTCTTGTACATTTGCGCCAATTAGCATGACCAGAATACGAGTACTAAAAAAAATAGTGAGAAAATAATACATATGATCAACGACGTTACAAAATGGAAAAACATAACCACACAAATTTAAGCAACAAAAACGTCTACTTAGCAAAATGTACACAGAGAGTAAAAAATATATATTTGAATGAACGTTCTTTAATATTAGACTAGAATTATACCGTTGTTCAATCATAAGTTAACAAAATTACCATGTACGCTCGAATAGCATTATTCGTTACGTCATTTGATTAAAAATTAAATTTTTTTTAAATAAATTTTTTCTTGTGCAGTCATTAATGTTAAATTTTGCAGTGTCATTAACGTAAAATTTTCGTTTTTCTTTTGATTAATTCATTCGAATTGTCAATTGTTTATTCTCTTTTTCGTTTTTAATTATTGACGTTTTTTAAAATTATGTGTTGTTTGAATAATGTGTTAAAAATTAGAATGAAGTCTAAATTGGAGTATATGATTTCTATCATACTTCTGTATAAATAAAGTTCCTCTGGAAATTATGTTATTGTTGGCAATATCATCTGACGAATGAATTATAATTTTTGAGTTGTATAATAATCTTTTATTTATGTTTCTAGCGTAGTTTTGAATATTTGTCGGTACATAATAAATAAATTTACACAATATTAAATAAAACTAATTATAAAGAACTATGAATACATTGCGCTTCTATAGTTGCGTATTTAAGTAATACATTTCTCTAATTCTCCATTCACCTAATAGATGTCGCATTTTATTGACTAATTGTAATTATTTGCATGGTCCTGTTGAATGCATTCCAAGAAAAGCATTGCAATTAGGACAGTAGTGACTTGTATTCTTACATGAGTTCATGAGATAGGGTAAACAGCTGCACAAAATGCATCTAAATTATAGGAAGTAAAAAATATTGTAATCTATTATTTTTATGTTCTTCAAAAATTTACCCTAATAAAATCAATCCAATTGCAAATGCGTGTGTTAACCATGTGGTTTCAGTCTCTATAGTTGTTTTAATGTGACTTCCACAATGTGGACATATCATATGTTGTGCATGTGGGCCAAAGTTTACAGCTATATACATACATAAATTATGTTAAAATGAGTTGATATTGATTCAGAAATTTGTCAAAAACATTTAATAACTTACGGGTAACAATAACAGCTGTAGCCATTGGTACTTGTTGAAGAGGAATTTGAACTTGTGGCCCAGCAGATGTATAATAAACTTGTGTGGGTAAGTGATGTTGCTGGGCAATCATGGGAGGGTGCTGAATGGAAGTGACTGGTGCTGGTTGTTATCTTAATTCTATAACGTAAAGAAAAGTAATGAAAAATATGTGTATGTATATGTAAACCAATATTACAACTAAAGTTATTAAAAAATATAAAATTTCTGAAGGTATCAAATACATGAAATAGATTGGCCATTGCTCAAAATGCGTTAACAGAAGTGTTACATAAATTAGAACAGTTAAGTAAGATATCGCCAATTGAACTTGAATTTCAATAAGGAACACAATTGAATTTGATGTAAGGAAAATATTGTAGCAACAACAATACAGTCGTACACATATGCATACATCTAATATTGTATTTAATTTCTAAAGTGCTTACACATTCAAACTGAATATGTTGACATTTATTGCTTTGCGAAATAAAAATATAGTTTTTTATAATTTTCATAATTCCTTGTGCACCTTGCAAAAAATTCAAGTTTGTTTGTAACATTAAACTGTCATGTACGAATATCCCTGTATGTTATTCATTTATGCACCCATATACATACATACATACCTTCTCTAATAAAATCAGTTTCTTCATGTGGAGGAGCTGACGGCTGCATCTACCGAAATTAATATTTCTTATTCAGCTGTTTATCAATTATTTTTAAAACACTTCTTTTCTTTTTATTTTATTAATTGCCTTAATTAAATCAATAAACTAATCAATAAATTTTTTAATGCACATTTTTTAATTTAAATAATAGAAATATTTTCTGAAAACATTAAAACTCAACATCTTTCACTATTCCGAAAACACAGGGATGATTCTACTAAACAAATCAATTAATGTGTACTATTGAGAATTATCAGAAGCTGTACTACTACAAACGAAATATTTCTACATACAAAAATCATATGTTAATTTTTACATGTGTGTGTTGTTTGAGGGTTGCCAGAACGCTGTTTAAAAGAATTATATAAACGAAAATGAACAGTGAAATATGAGTTTGTAATTTGTATATGTTTGAATTTCTGGTTCGATTTTTGTCTAAGTAATTTTTAAAACATTTAAATTATAAATTTAACTAAGAAAATCTATAAAAATAAAAATATTTTTATACTCGTTTATTTTTACATTCGTTTTCTATACAAAATATACATATCTAGTTCACTTAGCTTTTTATAAAACCGTATAAAATAAATATTACAAAAACAAATATCGATAGTTAAGTCGGATTTCCTTAACAAAAAGAGTTTCAAGTAATACGGCAATCCTATTAATTAAATACAACTTGACATATTTACTGCACGATGGTTGTTTCAGTGTGTGTATTTTATACTCAGAAAATTAAATTGTGTAAAAATTGACAACGCTCTTAAAAGTAAGAATGAAAAATTGAGAGCGCCGCAACAACATTCTTGAAAGAATGAAATAGAAAAAATATTTATTTGACTTTTATTGAATTTTATTGAGTTGTTTTGAGAATAAGCATAAAGGATATTAGGTATAGCTTAAGAATAATTTTTGTTAATTTATTTAAGGACCACTATTTTGTATTCCTCTCTTAATATCATACTTTGATATTGAATTTTCAATACAATGTAACATAATCGAATGAAAAAGAAAGTTTTTGTAGTTGTGCCATGTGCGCACGCTATATAATAGAAGATTAACAAAAGAATTAAATAAAAGGACTCATCGCAAATTATGAATTCTTTATTTCGTTCGTGCAAGAACTGATTTAAGAAATTATAAAAGTGTATGCACTTTATTGCTAATATTTAATATTAAAACATTTCTTTACATGTTTATATGCATACACTTTTACAAACGGAAAGTGTTTTCATGCGTTTATTACAAAAATGTGAAGTTTGAAATACAATCACCCACATTTTGTTAGTGGCATCACTTGTGCTGATGGGATATTATTATACAAGAATTTAATATTTTAGTATAGAATTTCGAATTACAGAATAGATTTTGAAATCCCATCCATCACGTCAAGTAATGCGGCTAGTATGTGTAAAAATATTCAATTTATACCCAATTATTACTATTTGTAACGCTAAGAAATAATGGTCTGAGATATAGACTTAAGTGTATGTTTTTGATCAGCGTCGAGTTCTGAGTTGATTTAGCTTTGTCTGTCCGTCCCGTCCGTTCCAGCGATAACTCAAAAACTAATTGAGCTAAGTTCACTAAATTTTCACAAATGATTTATTGTAGTAAGCTTCAGAACCCTATTTAAAATTGGTTATGATTGGAGTACTGGTTCGGGTAGCTGCCATAAAACTTCAATAGTATTAGAGATATATGGCTATATCTCAGAAACTATAAAAGCTATGACATTGAAATTTCACACAAGCGTTAAAATATCTTGGCTCTTTTTGTTAGCTGCCATAAAACTTCAATAGTAGCTTGGCCATATCTTAGAAAATATTGAAAACACAGTACTGAAATTTTGCATAAATTATTTTGGTGACACTCTATTCAACTCTATTTTTGTCGTTTTTTATTTATTTTCTTAAATTTTTCCTAGAATTGATGCACAGCTTATGTTTTTCTTCATTTCTTCAGAAGAAGTCATTATAAATTAAAAACTTTAACTTGGATGTTTAAAAAAAGTATATTTATTTGTTTTCATAATTATTATAAAAAATTTCTAAAATTTCTGTCCCATTAGAGCCAATTTTAATTTTTCCAAATGACCACAACAATAAATTTTTTTGCCATCACAATTTTTAGCTAATTTAACTGATAATAAAAGCTACAAGACAACTGAAAAATTATTTAAAATAAATTTAAATTCCTTCTATTAATAATTAATTTTTTAGATTTTCTTACCCCATTAAACCAAATGAAAGAACTATTACTGCAATTTTCAAATATAAATTCATCATCGATTTTGTTAGTGGCTTAATCGGTTTATCTTGACAATCATGACAACTTTCACAGTTCACTGGAACAGCTAAAGAATGAATAAATTAAAATATTGGTTTGAATTAATAAAAAATTAAATAAGGCGACGAAATATTCAATTAACATTCGACTGACATAATATTTTCTGGCAGAACAAGTGTCAAAATGTGTAAAACTCACTAAATGGCAAATGCATTAATGTTGAAATAAGGAACTTTTGTACAACATTTTTTTTCAATTTTGCGGCTATGAAACATATTCTAATTCAAAAATTTCATGTTTTTGTCTACAATTAATATTTATAAATATTTCATTAAAAGGAATTGTTTTTCGTCCATATTTTCCCTTTCTTGAAGAAATTATGTGTTGAGGTCATCATTTTTATGTGACACACCTAAAAAATTTAATAAAGGAAAACGAAATTTTCTAGGAAACAAACGGTTTCATAACACATATATTATGTATGTTAGCAAGTATATGTAGGTTAATAACTTTGAAAAGATTGACCTTCGCAATAAATTGAAATTCGTCACTTTATTTTATGATGTCCATTAACACGAATGTCACAAATTTTTAATTATATAAATTGATTTTGATAGTTAGATGAATAAAAAAAAAATTTTGAAAGATAAACCAACCAAATGACTAAAATTATGTTTTATATGTGCACACATAAATATGTACAGAGGATCGTAAGTATGTGTGCAAATTATAAATTAAAAAAAATATTGAATGTGATGTAACAGAATTTAGTATGTGTAGCTTCAACAGGTTGATATTAATGATTTTTAATTTTGTCAGCGTTCGATTTTTAATTGAATTTAAATTTGATTAAGTTAACACAGTTGCATGAGATGCACAGATAGACCGACTGGACGACATTTCACAAAAAACAAATTTTTTATACATTAGAAAAGTCGACAATTCAAATTTGGTACTATCGCAATAACTTCCTTATTGTATGCAATGCAGTTGGTAAATTATGATAATTACTCACAGATCACATAACACGGTCACTAAATTGGTTAAAATTACACTATTGATAAATTTTAAATCTCAACTCTAAAACTAAATTAACCATTGTGTACTTACGTGGGCTCTGTTGTATTATGATTGTTGGATAAGCTAGTTTTAATTGACCTTCAGGTTGATGATTATAAGATGCAAGTGGTACAGATGGTTCATTATATTTGAAATTGTGATGAGGATTAGGAAATTCTTGACGTATTTGCTGATCAACTTTTTCTATAATTGGTTCATTTGGCAATGATTCGACTAGGGTTGGGTAAATATCACCACAAGGTTCATTTTTATCCATTTTATATTTATGTAAGTCTGAATTTATTTTCTAAAATAAATGTTAATAAAAAAATTTTTAAATCAATTTAAATGAACTTTACCTTTACGGTAACCAAAATTATAATGATTTAACGAAAAATATTTTCAAAATTTAAAGCTTCTTTTAATCGAAATAATTATAGCAAATTTGATAATAATTTTGACATTTTGATAATTTTTGCAACAAAAACAATATTTTTTTAACACTCAAACTTTTTAATCTCTTAAAATTTAACAGGAGTTGCACAATAATAAACAAAAGTTTTGGTGTTAAGTTCTTGGAATTTGAAAGCGAATTAAAAAAATTTTGTTAAAAACAACACATAATCGAGGACATTGTGTATTTTCTGAATAACTATAGAAATTCCAACAAATCTACGCTCATTAGGGTTTTAAAATATTGGACAAACGAATTTTGAATAATTTTCGGAAAGTTTCGTTAAGTTTTAAGGAAATTCGTGAGCTATGTAATCAAACATATTTTTTAAAACTTTTCGTGAATTTCTTCAATTTTTGTAGTTTCGTCAAATTTGAAAACAAAATTCCAATATAAAATTTAAATTTAGCATCTAACAAAGCCCAAATTCAACTGTCCGATTATTCCAAAAGTTAATTGAGACATCGTGCTTCAAATGTTAAAATTTTGTGACTATTTTATTTGACCTAATTCAAAACTAGTGTTATCCTTAATAATATATTCCAATAAATTATTATGTACCTCTAATCTTCTGGAGCATTACGTAATTTAGTGCAAATTTTATTAATGAATTTTCGAAAACAACTAAAACAAAAATCATTTTTACTGTGTTCAAGTTATTCATTAAATCAATTTTTTTGGAAGTTTTAGTGTTAAAGGTTATTTAAAATAAAAAAAAAAAAACAATATTTTCGCGCTCATGTGACCTTTCAATATCATTAAATTCTAATCAAAAACAGCCCCAAGTTTACTAAACATTATTATAGTTTAGAATTTATAAGTGAAAAAAGTTGAAAAAAAGTAGTGCCAAAAATTAATTGACTTGAAAAACAGATTAAAAGATAAGTTTCGTCTGGAAAAACAATTTTTGTATTAACATTAAATTTTTAAAATTTGATTAGAACTAAAGGTAAACGAGAATTTGTTGGGAAACACAAACTGGATATTTGAAGTTCATGGATATTTAAAATTTTGAAATTAAAATAAAATTTTTATTGATAAGTTTTGGATTTTTTCTAATCAGAGCTGTTTATTATTTGAGTTTACATATGTTTTACAAAAATAATTAGTTGTTTACTTTCATGTGTAGGACTAAATATCGTGATAGAATTTTATCGATTCCTGTAAAAGTTTAGATATCGATAGATTTCTGATTTTACAAAAGTGTTTTAGTTCAATGAACTTATGGTATAAAGATTACAAGGTATCGTAATTGAAAACGAAAGCTTTTTGTGACGTCATCTGTTTCCAAATGTGTCAATTGTAAATTTATGCTGTACATTCTTAAAAGAAAAAATAACACTTTAACTTTTTCATTCACTTCTATTGGTTCAGATATCAAAGAGAAACAAAAAAAAAAACTTATATTCCTATGAGTTTCTATATTACAAGATCCAGAAATAATATCAAGGTTTTCTACAGAATCAGCAACTTTAAATATGTGGTTAGTAACAAATATTGGAAGGAAAGTACTGAGTTAAAAGATAGCAGCATCAAAAAAAATTTTAAGTATCATATACGTACCTGATTTATTAGACATTGACACTTGCAACAATTCAGTTACTTCCTAGTTTATTGATCTCTTAATAGATGTGATATATCTTTCTGAAGATTTCTCTTGATTTGGTAAATGTTATTTTAGGACTGCTGTTTCTTTCAAACTACTTTTTATGCAAAGGTACATTAGGAGATTACCTTTTGTGCACGTATTATAGTATTTTCTTTAAATTTCGATCTTTCATTATAGTAACCATTTATCCATTTTTTCCATTTTTTGGGTTTCTTTTGGAAATGTATGGAATTGCACCTTATTTGTTTGCATCGTTTCAGGGACTTTTTTTCAAATATTTTCTTTTTAATTTAATTAACATTTGTCTTTTATAACACTACAAAAAAATTTTGAACAATACGCTGACACTTTATGCTTATATTCACTTTTTACTATGAAACTAATAATATTTAAATAGTTGTATGTGTATAGGTAAATTTAAGAAAACACAACTTTACAACTTTCTTTTTTTAAACAATTTTTATTTACTTTTTACTAAAAAATATAATATAATTTAAAATATTAATTTTTTTCACACTTTAACTGTCAAAATACGTCCTCGCACAATAAAAATGTCAGCCAAATGGAAATAAATGACGTAATATACATTAAAAATGGCGACAGAGCTTTTTTCAATGAGCATACCTTGAACTGTTGTTAAAGTTATACTTTTGCTTTTACTTCTAAGTGTGTGCTTGTGAATGTGTATACAAACTAGGTTTGTTTTAAGTTCAAAGAATATTCGTAAAGAGTAAAAGATGATATATAGAAGAGCGGCCCCAAGTTGTCTGGTCAATTCATTTGCACTTCAATGAAATTTGTTAGTTGTATTTATTTTATAATTATTAATTATAGTTATTAGTCATATATATTTCTGGCAAATACCTACATTACATTAAAATCAGTTGAAATATAAAAAAGAGTAGTTTATACATTTAAAGATTTTAAATTAAAGATGGTGAATAGGGCGTGCAATAGTGTAGAAAAAGAATGGTAGAGTCAATACAGCAAACCTGGAAAATAGGAAAATAAATTAACGCAATTGTATAGTGTTAAATTAAATTAAATATTATGGTTTTTGCTTGATAGTACACAGCAGCAATGCAAGTTTAGGAGGTATTCCTGTTGGAAAAGAGGCGCGGGTGATCGTTTATTACGAATGATTCAACTTTATTGGACTTAAAAAGTGATATTTGAAAGAGTATTTTAGGTAATACAGGTGACAAGAGGAACTCTGCAGAAATTGAATAAATCTTCTTAAATTCTTACATTAACAATATTATCGCAAACACCATATAGGAATGCCATGCTACATCTATAGTAAAATTTTTTATTGAAGTCATCCTTTTAGTTTTTTTCTTATTTTCAACATCTTCTTGACTTTCAGGATCATCAGTTTCTTTCGAGTTAGTCTCTTCAATATTCTTTTCATCTTTAATTTCTTCTTTCTTATCCGATTTTAAATCATGGTTAAGTTCAGATTTTTTATTTTTTGCTGATTGATGAACAAGGGCTAAAAATGCGAGAAAATTAAAATTAAATTAAATGTAAATTTATCTAAAATGACGGCGAAGTATTCATATTTTGTCAGTAAGGAAAATTAAGAGATTATAATTAAAAAAAAATTTAACATTTTCAAAATTTGTGCATATTCTACTAATGGAATACACTTTTAAAACTCTTATTTTTTAAAGATTTGTAGTAGAACCAGTGAAGAAAATAATCATAAATCACAAAAATTTTTGATAACCTTAAACTTTTATTCAGAAATTTGTTAAAATTCTTTAATAGCAAATTCAAGGAGAAACTGTTTTTTCTACAAAGAACACAAAAATAATCAACATATTTTATACTTACGTGGATTTTGTTGTATAATAATAGTTGGTTGAGTCGAGCTTGTTTGATGTTCATAGTCATGTGGAGCAAATGATATTACTATTGGCATATACGACAATTCTTGATAATTTGAGTATTTTTGTTCCGGATTAGTAAATTGAATCACTGTATCCAGATTTGATGAAGACATATTTGTTTTTTCTTCGTTCAGAGGTGGTGCGGTTGGAATCAGTTCTTCATTTTTATCCATAGTTTTACACTTTTCTTTGTTTAAAAAAAAAAAAATTATTAAAAAATAATAAAAATATTTACGAAATTTTATAAAATATTCACCAGCAATATTTTTGATATACACGTATACTTTACACCTTCTGTTATTCAAGTATGAATTCAGAAATTTAAGATTCTAAGCAATTAAATGAATGTTGAATGGCTGAAGATAATAACAAAATTTTTATTTTGAAAAAAATTATCTGCAACTCAAATTCTATTTGTTTATATAAAAATTTCTAATCTGAATATTATATAATTTTTGATTCGAAAATATTTTATGGGTTATCTTTTAGAAACTTTTTGAAATTTAGAAACTTCTTAGAAATATTCATGAACATATTGAATTTATTGTTGTTTTACTTAGTATTAGATGTTTGTAGATCAGCATTATTACGTGACTAGTTAAATATTATATGCTGACTAGTTTTTAAAATATAGCAACATGTTTGTTTAAATAATGCACTACATATATTGAAATTAATCAATTAAAAGCCGGCTGGGCTATTTTGTATTTCTTATGGATTTAACTTGTGCTTATAATATCGCTCGAGATATTGAACTATAATCGTCTTCTTATACGTAAGAGAAAAAATTTTATGTTTTCGAAAAACATTACATCTAATGTCAATTTCTAAATTAAGTGAATATGAAATAATACAAGAGAACAATTTTACTCCACACAACCTAATTTGTCCACCTATTCTCTTGTTTTTTAAACTATAATAAAATATGGTCACTCACACATTACACGAAAACTTTCCTTTAGTGTTACTCAATAAAACTCTTTTAATTATAATTTGTTCAAACAACAAACATACTTTATTTACTCATATAGAATTTTATTTTTAATATTGATTGAGTTTTCAAAAGAGTTAAATACAATCTTATCGTTTTTAGCATGAAAAGATCCATACTTTTTTCAATATTTCCAAAACATCCAATGATTCCCAAGGATAACGTACGGTATATACCACAAAAAGAAACTGTAAAATGTGAAAATGTTACAGAATTTAAATCGATTTAATATTTCCGAAAAATAATATGAGTTGAACAACGTGAGGGTTAAAGATTTTATAACTTTAGCAAACAAACTCTAAATTTACTTACACAATTACTAACACCAAAGATACCAAACCAAAATATTTAAGAAATCTTTCAAATTTTTCATACTTATTTACTTTATTTGCAGGTTTATATTTGGTATTATTACAATTGCAGCATTTTGCAGCAGCCTCGTTGTCTAAAAAATAATTTTAGAAGGTTTGTAAATCAAATATTTTTTTTTGTAATATTCAAAGTTTTTTACTTACTTGTGGGAGATTTTATAATAATGATTGGCGGCTGTGGTGTTATTGACGGCTGATCATGTTTTGGTTTGGTATATTGTACTTGTTCAAGTTTCTTGTTCTGTTCATGATAAATATTCGTCTCACATTCTTTTCCACATAATAGTGGTGCTGTTGGTGTAAATGTAGATTTAATTTCAGAAATATTGTTGCCAACGTTTTCATCTGCCATTATTCAATGTTTCACTATTCTGTAAACAAAACAAATAAAACTTTTTTTTATAGACGAATTAAAATTTCATGCAATGGTAATTAAGTAGCTTACATAAAAATTTATTCGTACGTAACTCATCCAAAAAATTCTCAGCGATTACGTACTAACACTGAATTAGTACTGATTTAGTAGTTTTTTTTAAGTAATATGCTTTATTTTCTTTCTCGAGAAAATCGTATATGTATTGTGACTGTTATATAAGCTTTTAATCATTTTTCTTTGAAATTATATTCAAATTAAAAATTGTATAATATCAGTCCTACCGATCAGTTCAAATGCACATACGCCGAAATAATTAAAATGAATGCCAGCTGCTTTCTCAACTTGCTTTAATTAGTTTTTAATTCTGTATGTATTCCATATCAAAAACGTATATCAGCTTAGAGCACCTAGCTATCAAAATAATTTTTTCGAATTTTTTTAACACTCATTAGAGTAAAATAAACACTTACGAGCTAATAAATCATTTTTGTGTAAAATTGTGGTACTCGTACAAACACCTTACCAATTTCAGATATTTTTTCTTATATTTAAAATTGAAACTCAGAGAGGAACTTTGAAATACTAGCTTTATGTATTTAATTTTCTGATATCTCTCCATTCTCTTCGTGTTGTAATATACCTATTATGTGTACCGTTAAGACTAATACGATACGAGTGTACGGAATCATGTAATTTTTTTTGTTTACTCATAAAAAATTTATATAAGTTTGAGTATTTCATCATAAGTGAAATTTGGTATATATTTATGCGAAGCCAGTAATAGAAAATTTCTAAGAATTCGGCATAGTGTGAACACTAATATTTTGTTACAAAAATTAAAATTTTACATTCCAATACTTTGTGTACTTTGAATGCTTTCGATTTTTCGACTTTTTTTTTTGAATAAAGCTTTTTGTACTATATAAACACACAACAAAACATAAACATATAAAGCTTAATTTAAATTAAAATATTGAATGGGATCAATTCCAAATTGGTAATCATGCAAATTACAGTTAATTCATAATGAAGTTTATTTAGTCAAAATTAAAGTCCAATCTTTAACCCAATTTTAATTTAATTAATAAAATTCTTCTTAAATAAATTTTTTTATCAATTCATTTAAAAAAAAAAATTCTGATTACAAAATAAAAGTCAAATTATTTTTTAATTAAAAAATATTTAATTAAAAAAGTAAGAAGTTAGTGTCGGTCATCACCATACTCGTTCATTAAATTTTTCAATTAAATTGAAACGATGTTCATAATTATAGAAACTCAGATTATGTAGTATATACATACATACAAATGTTCTTGTACACATGTGTACATACTCTATCTCTCCTTAAACTCAAATATTTCTTTCCATAGTTTTTACGAGTATATAGGATTTAATTTTTTTAAAATGATTTTTCTATGTGATCCCAAAAAAATGAATATTGTATGTGTTAATTTCAATGAAATTGAATGACGTAATTCCAATATTTATAAGTTAATTAATGTCATAATAGAACGAGCAGAGGTTGCAATATCTCAAGAAACAAAAAACATTTTTAAAAATAATTTGGTTCGTTGTGAAATGTTCTTCTGTTGAAGCTGAAAGTTGATTTTGTATCTGCGTCCTTTGGGGGTTTGTTGATTTTCTAACTGAGATGAAAAGGGTCAAATTGGTGAGATCGCTGGTGCTTTACATACCTTCTATCTTGTATTCTGATATTGTGCTTTCTTTTAAGTGTGTTACACAGCTGAAAAAATTGAGATGAGTCTCTAATGCCTGTACTAGGTTTGTAGTTGGGGGAAAGATGTTCATCAGCATTGCTGACAGGAGGAAACTTCTGCTGAATAGTTCTTTTTACAAGTTCCTTTACTACCGCTGTATTAAGTTTTCAATAGAATTATCAATGAGGATAATGGCGTTATTAAAAAAATAAAATTATTAGAAGTAGGTCTTCTAGGTCACCAACCGTTAATATTTCTTGCCATTCATGTCATAAGAGACATTTATCTTTCTTTGTAAGAACTGCTTTGTTTTGGAATAATTGAAATAAATTTGAATTTCTATTGTTTCTATTCTTTGAGTAGCAAAATTTAGTAATAGTAGAGTAAAAAGAAGTCCTCGATTGAGAGTCATTCATTTTAATCAAGTTTTAAACATATTAACCAAGAGAATTCATATGTTTAAAATGAGCGCCATTCGATTCTCATCAAACCAAATTCGTGATGAGTGCCTTAAATTCGGAAAAATGTTAAATTTTTTATTTTAATTAAAATAAAAATTTTTGCTCAATATTTATTATTGAATATTTATAAATAAAAAAAAATTTATTTTTAAATATCTTTTATTTAAAATCATGATTTGAATTCAAAAAAGTATAATAGTATATTAGAAATCTTTATTAAATTTAATATTCAAATTCATGTTGTCAATTTTCAATCAAATGTCGTGTATTGAATATAAATCACATTTATTATAATTTACATAATAAAAGTACGTTATGTATGTAATATCCGACATGAAAACTTTTATACAAATATAAAAGTTTTCATTCATTCTTTCACATATTTACCCACCATTTAATAAAAAGTTGCAATTTGTTTATAGTCAATATTGTGTTTCAGTAATTTCAAAACAAAATTCCATGTAATATTAAAGTGTAAATATATTTATACAGGTATTACACATTGTGTTGTGTGATCATAAACCTATAATTAATATAAGATACACACGAAATGTCCAATTAAGGTATAAAATATAATATTATATTAACTACATGAAATGTTTTTATTAAAATTTTTAAAATTCTCTATTTATTTGTAGCACTTTTCCAAAAAAAAAGAAATTGAAACAAAACTGCTTATTACTTACAATCACCTCATCCGTTCATCAGTTCGTCTGTCAGTGTGTTTGTTTACAAAATTCCTACACCCTTTGAGATAAAAAGCTGAAATACACAAATATTAAAAAAACAAAATGGCTCTTAAAATTAACCGCTAGTTAAAACATTTTTTTTTTAATTTTTAATATCGTTTTTCTTCTGGACGCAATTTGTAGAAGTCCGACGTTTTAGAAGCTTTTAGACAATTTTTCAACAATAAAATTCTCTTTATTAAATAAGCCGAACTGACGTTAAATTTGCATTTACTTATAATCTTACTTACCTATACTTTTATTCATGTGCACCAAAGTTTATTAATAATGACTTTATGGCAGAATATACAATGAGCTATAGAACAAACTTTTGTAGGTAGCTGAATTGTTGACATATTTAACATAATGTAAGGGCAATGTTGTCATACATAATATTTTGTTGTCTGTCTTATTTTAATTGAAATTAGGACATGAGCAAAGAAATAATGTGAATCGATAATTTTTTAAGTTAAAGTAATATCTATAAAAGAATACAAGAAAAGGTGAAAAATAAAGTTAAAAGGAAAACCGGAAAAATAATTTTAATGATAGAATTGAAATAGAGACCTTAACTTTTTTCCCTATATAAAGGTTCATTATCATTTTTATAGTTAAATATGTGTGTTCACTTTCATGACACAAAATATATAATTAATTTGAAATTAGGTTAATTAGAAAATATAAGTTAACATTATTGTGTTTAATGATATTCACCTAAGCATGTAGGTGTTTAATGAATTTGAAATTAATTTTTATGCTTAAAAATAAATTAATTGATTTACATACATAATTAGATTTGATTTATATATAGGTTAAAATCAAACCTTGCTAAATTTTTTCAATAGAAATTAATGTATTCATGTACATATATCAGCGGACTAGACGAGTTTAAAAGCAAATCTAGCTTTCAACTTCCCGGTTATATTGCGTCCACTCCCTGCAATTTCCCGATAACACCCGTGAGTATTCTCATCCGGTTCTTGCCCATTCTTCTTAAAACGACTATAATCTCCAAAAAGACATTTAGCCCATTATTCTTATAAACTTCTTCTAAATTCTCTTACTTAGTTACCTCGCACCATTTCTAGTTCGATTAAACAGAAGAGTTCAGGACTGATGAAGTATGTGTAGCTCCTTTTCTTGTCAACATATTTTCCATTTTATTCCCCGCTCTATTCGCAGGTCATGTCGATCCTGAAGGTGTTCACACCACAGTCTACCATATCTCAGAGAGTTGATGAGCTGAACAAAAGTAATATGAAAACAATTCAAATTTTAACAGTTTGCAGATATTGTAAATTTTGCAAACGTCACAAATTACAAAATAATTCAAATATTATTGTTATGGCAAGTGAAATTCGAAAATACAAAAAAAAAAAAATTATATTTAAAAGTTTCTATTTTTTTAACATAAAAATTTTTTTTTTCCAAATTCAATCAAATTTTCAAATCATCACAAGAAAAAAAGAAATGAAATGAAGATTTTTTTTTCAATTTTTAACACGTGTTAGCATTCAAAATAGTCTGGCAATGACGTAATATTTTATAATCATTATTCATGTTAAGAAGCACAAAAAATTAACATAAATATTAAAATTCATCCAAAAGATACAACAGAGAGCGCCCCTCTCTGCCCTCCTTAAAATTTTATGGAAGTTTTTTTTTTCAACAAGAATTAAGTTTAATTGACCTCTTATTATGAGATGGAAAGCTTGATTTTGTTTGTAAGTATAAATTTTGAAAATAAATCAGCATCTACATAATGCAGTTATAATGAGGTTAAGCCTCAATTTGCAATTTATTTGCTTAAATCAATTAAATTAGCGTTAAAATTTTCTTCGTAACATTTGATCAGTGATCATCGCTCAGTTATAGCATAACTTTTATATCTTCAAATGTTGAAGTTATAAACGTTACTTGTCTACAACATAAAGCGTTCACATTCCTTCCCATTTTATTTTTATTTACGCCGAATCTTATAAGAATTTTTAATTAAAAATTAAAATTCAAAATAAAACGGGATAGACTGGGAAGGGAAAAAAACTTTATCAAAGCATTTCATAAAGTCTAAAATACGTACATTATATAAGCTTATGCTTTAACCTTGAATTTATTTTATCGTTTAAAATGTATTACATCAGAATAATAAATTTCATTTTTTCATCTGGGTCTTTTTTTTTCTAATTTACTAAACCGATCAGTTTTAAAAAAC